TGTAAGTTAACATATGGAAAGACATGCCTCTACCAACCTGCACTTCAATATTACTGTGCTACATCAAACCACTTAATCATTCTGACTAATGCATATAAAAACAGCAACAAAAAATATTTGGAAAGCAGCAACAGTACCAGCAAGCAGCCATACTTTGTCACCATTTTGCTACAAAACCTTAAGACAACTGAAACTAATTGTAGCTTTCCCGATTACAGTATGTGCTATCCATAAAAGAGTTTCTCTGTTTCCAAATACAATAGAAAACAATATAAACGTCTATAAAAAACAGAGATATATTCAGAGTGCGGGGAGACAGTTACCAATTACAGATCGATTAACTTCAGAATACCCGGCCACTTTATTTACATCAGATTTACATGTGTTGGTGTGTTTTGAAGAACGAGGTATATAACAGTAGTTGCTATTCTTATTCAATGAGATGCTAATAAGTGGCCGGGTATTCTGGAGTTTAGCGCTTTCTGCAAACTACCCCTCTCACCCCTCTCACCCTTCATAAGTCGAGAGGGAAAAATTTGCTCGCCACTAAAAGTGAAAACCTGTGAAAAGTTTGAACTTTTCTACACTAAAACAACCTTTGCCGAACATTTCCCTGTCATTCGGAAGAAGAGGACGAAGCTAGAAATAGCAGCATTTACCTAAAGCTCCAGAACAGGCGATGAAGAAAATCGATCTACCGGGAGCCATTTTTGTTTTCCAAATTTGGAAAGCGCGCGCGCCTGGGTACCAGGGTAAGAAATCAGCCAATCAGACACAAGTCCCCTTTGGTACAGATAACCAATAGCCGTCTTTCTGTTTGTTCCGAACCAATCAGACAATTTGGCGGGAAAGCTGGCGGGAAAAGAGGGAAAAGCATTCATGTGAGGATGATCCGGGAGCGTCGGAAGAGAACGGCAACGAAGAAATCGAAGTAATCGAAGCGACCGCTCGCGTTTATTTTAAAACGATGAGAATTAAAGCTAAAATGATGGCCAAAGAAAAAGAGTATTTACGATATTGTTTAAAGCTAAAAAGCTTGTAGGGGCGTTTGTACTAAAAACTAAAATATCTAAAAACGATAACTAGAAAAACTACAATAAATTGCCAAAATATAGTCTCCTTCGCAGGGGTGTTTTGGGATGTCACGCGCGAGAAATGATTTTAAAATCAGTAGAAAAGAACATTATTTTACCTTAGAACGATGAAGAACAGTAGCGCAGTCGGCAGACATTTTTATCCGTGTGCCAGCGTATAATACATACACAGTTACGATTTCTCCGGTTCCCGATCTTTGACTTCCAAACGGAAACACGAAGATCCGTCAGATGAGAGACACCCCGGAAATACTTTTTTGGGGGCGCGATACAGTATTTTGCTGGTCAGCGGTACACCTTAACAAAACTACAAA